TGAGGCTGTTCCTTCCATATCTAGAGTTTGAATAATTTTTTATCATGAAAGGATGTTGAAGCTTTTCAAATGTTTTCTTCCAATCTACCAAGAGAGTATAAATTTTGCATTTCATTCTCTGAATATGTTTCATCATATAGAATCATTTGTACACATTAAAATATTCTAGCAAGTCTAGACCAGTCTTGACTGTGGAGTTTAATCCTTTGAATTCACTGTTACACTTGGCTCACTAGTACTTCATAGCATTTTTCTATGTTTACCAGGGATAATGGTCTGTAAGTTTGAATCTCTCTCTGTCTGTCTCTCTGTGCCTCTGTCTCTACTCTCTTTTCCTCTTCCTTCTTTTTTTCTTTCTTTTCTTTCATCTGTTTCTGGTGTCAGGGTGATTTTTGTCTTCTTAAAAGGAGCTTGGAAGTAGATCCTACTTTTTAATTTTCTAGAAGAGTTGCAAAAGGATTGGTTATTATTCTTTATTAAATACTTGACAGAATTCACTGGGAATCCATCTCTTTTTTTGTGTTTTTGAGGCATTTTGATTATTGACTCAATGTCTTTATTCCTTATTGATCTGTTTGTGTTTACTATTTTCTTGCAACTTGTCATTATCACTAGAGGATGTCCTTTACCCACTGAGTCATTTTCCATTTGTTACTAGATTCCTAGCCTAGTAAGGATTCATCTTTTCCTGTATATTGCTATTGATCTATTGTGGAGATTCTAATACATACAAGATATGTTTTCTGCGAGTACCTTTGTTCATTTATATGATGTTTTAAGACTCAGTGTTGGGAGCAGTGGTCACTGCTGGAGAAACCTCGGGGGGGGGGTTTGAGGCTGTGCCTCTAATTTCAGGTTTCACAACCTGACCTCCTATCAGCTTTGCTGAGAACCAGATGTTCTGGAAATTCCACCTGTACTGATCCATCGTAAACAATGAGATTTATGGATTCAGCTCTATCATGGGCATGAAAAGTTGGATACTAACTACTATTTAAGAGAAGATGCTGTGGAATTGTACTTACAGTTGCAGAACTTTAGAAAATGTTCTCAAATTGGGCAGATATGAAGTTGCACAAATTGAGAATGTGATTAATACCACTGAACCACACATTAAAACCAATGAAACTTTAGTTTTTGTTTAAAATTACCTCATGCCATAGTATTATAAAGGGTTACAGAGGTGAGGATGAAAATGAAAATGGAAAGACATACAAGGGAGGGAAGGGCAGATGCTTTGCAGGACCCACCTCAGGCACAGCTCAGGCCCACACCTACTGTGTCAGCCCCCATCAGCTCCAGCCCTGGAGTCCATGAGGATGAGCTGGGTCCCAAGGATGTGAGGTCACTGGAGGTGGAGTCAGCACAAGCTCTGCAGGTGGAACTTGAGCTGGGTCAGGAGCTGGTCATGAAGCAGCAAGAGGAGAAATGGTTGTCAACTGTCCATATTCCTTCCAGAGTCCAAAGCTTCACAGTGCCTGTCAGAGACAGCTCTGGACATAAACCCAGCCCAGCAGTCTACCCACTCTGCCTCCACCACCTGACTGCCAGGGGTCTCGGGGTTTCCAGGGTATCCTAGCACCTGGAATCTCTCACTGGATAACAAGCCGACTCTTTCTACCTGCTTTCTTCTGTCTGTCCTTACTTACACTTCACCTTACTGAGATGAGAGCTACCATATGGTATTTAAGCTCACATGTCTGATCTGGTTCACTAGACACTGTATTTTCCAACGACTCTTTCCGAAAATAAAGTGGCTATTGTCAGGAGCTGGGGTTAGGTGAGAGCAATGTTATTGTCCAATGTGTTCAGAGTTTTGTTTCTGCACTGAGTAAAGTGACCTGGAGTGTGGTGACAGCCATACAATAGTGTAAATGTGCTGCATGTCACTAACCCATACTCTTACAGTACTCATGTTGGTTAGCCTTTGTTACATGCACTCTATAGTTTAAAATGTAAATTAAAAAATGAGAAACTCATTTGATATTAGTACTGAAAATAAGACTTGACCATGTGCATGTTTAACGAATTCATCCTCTGCATCTCACACTTTCTGTGCAAGTCCATTTTTCCTATCAGTGACCTCCTGGTACCAGGGAATCAGTGCAGGGAACCTATGTGGAGCTCTGATGGGAGCTGCAGGATAGAGCTCTGCTCAGCCCCCCCCCCCCACCATGTTCTCCTCAGTGCTGTTCAGCACCTTCCTTAAAACCTGCAGTCAGATGGGGACACAGCACATCCCAGGAATGTGAATCTGAATTTATCTTCAATTGGATGCTGCACGTTTTATACAGCTGTTGACTATATGAACTGATTCCCTTTTTAAATGACAAGAGTTTGTCTCTTATCTCTCAAAAAGAATGGAAAGGCAATTCCAACCTCAAAGATTAATACGTTTAATTTTTACTTATAAACTGTGGTCGATCTGGGATTGTCACCATTATCAAAGAGAAATATCATTTAGTCTCTTCCAATATTGCTTGGCCAAACAGATTTGGGATGCAGTAGGTGAACAGAATAGAGTGGTGGGGTGCACAGAGTGCAGATCCTTTCAACTCATGCTACCTAGAGCTGCTCAAACCTGTGACTTGGCACTTGGTCATGGCCAAGGCCACGGCTGTCTTTGCTGAAGCTGCCTCCCAGCCTTAGGATATGAGTAGCAATAATAAAGTCTCCAACAAGGGAGGCGTTGGCCCAGGTACCAAAAGGCAGAAGCATCTGTGGACACTGTGCTGGGTGGTATCCTTGCCCCAAGGAAACTTGAACCTCCTGTCAGCCAGAATGTAATGGATCCCAGGTCAAGGAACTGTGGATCCAAGCATGTGGTCAAGGTTTTTGTGGGAGGTAGAGTGTCTGGGCAGGGAGGTCACCTTGCACCCTTTCACTTCCTTCCCGGCTCACATGGACAGGCAGAGTGGCCAGGCAGATATTCTGCCTTTATGTTTCATGAGACTCAGGCCACAGACAAGGGAGGCGGCTGCCTCTCCTGTCCCATGCTCTTCCAGAGGGCAGTGATTTCGTGGGTGGGTGCCCAAGTGTCCTCATGATTGATTTATATTTGACTGTGAGCAGAGTTACCTTTGGCTGGCATCTGCCTGCATCTTCAGAAAATACAGGCTGCCAGTTGCCTGCTTAGCACCCCAACATCCATCTGGGTAGTTCATTTTCCTCAACAAAGAGGACTTCTCTCTCAGATGTGTCTTGACAGTTCTGATAAACACTCACTACTCCATCCCATCTCTACCCCTTTGTTTTCCTGACACTGTTACATAACTACTAAAGGAACAGAATTGGTGGTGCACCCTGTAGAGTTCAATGCCAATAATATACACTGCCAGACAATAGCAGAGTGAAGACATATTCGTGACTATTGGCAGTTGAAGAGAATTCCTGGGGTAACTGTCAAAACTGCCTCTGCACCATAAGGGCATCTGGATTGTACTGCAGAGACTTTTCATGCTCATATGGGGAAGACTGGTCCTCTCCTATGGAGGGAGACACTTTCTTAATCTCCTGGCATCACATTGTAGATCAGGCTGCACTGTGTACTGTGTGGTCAAAACTGTGTGGATTAGGTGCCTCCGGTCTTTGAGCACTGGCACTCCACGCTTGAATACATTCTGTATCTCACCCTAATAAATCTTTCTGGTGCCTGTTTCTTTTTTTTTTTTTTTTTTTTTAATGTTGCAAACTGGGCATTGTGGTACACGCCTGTAATCCCAGCACTCAAGAGGCTGAGGCAGGATCATTGCAAGTTTGAGACCATGTCTAGGCTACAAAGTGAGCTCAAGTCCATCCTGAACTGCACAGGGAGACCTTGTTTTCAAAAAGAAAAAACTAAACTAAATAAATGGTGGATGAGAAGACTTCTGAGCAGAGTACAGAATTTTGGCATTATAACGTATGCACAGCTTCTTTTTGTTTTCCTTCTTTTTTCATCCCTTGCTCCTCTCTCTCTATGTCTGTCTCTGCCTGTCTTTCTCTCTCTCTCTCTTTTCCTTTCTATCTTTCTTCTTTCTTTCTTTCTTTCTTTCTTTCTTTCTTTCTTTCTTTCTTTCTTTCTTTCTCTCTTTCTGTCTGTCTGTCTGTCTGTCTTTCTTTCTTTCTCTCTCTCTCTCTTTCTTTCTTTCTTTCTCTCTCTGTCTCTCTCTCTTTCTCTTCCTTCCTTCCTTCCTTCCTTCCTTCCTTCCTTCCTTCCTTCCTTCTTTCCTTTCTTCCTTTTTGTTTGTCTGAGTCTCTATAATCTTCAACCTAGGCTTGAATTTCTTATGTTTCTCTCTCAGATTCCTAGAGTGCAGGAATTATAGTTGTGCACAACTATGCCAGTTTCACAAGGTGATTAAAACAAGCACTGTTCACAGTAGATGACTTAGGGGGAAGTGTGAGTGTGCATGCTCACTCTTTTGGTTGGTTTAGAGCAATTTTTTGGGTTTTTCTTTTTGTATATGGGATCAAATTCACAATCTTCTGCTCACTAGTCAGGAGCTTATGCTGCTGACCTAAGTCCTGGCCTAAAGCAAATTCTTGTGGTTCTCATTACCTTGAGGATGGCATCTGAAATAAATAAACAATTTGAAGCAGTGTTAACAGGTAGTTGTAGTAGTATTTTCCTTAATCCACACCTTCCAAAAGAAGGACTGCTTACCCCATCTCCTCCTGCATAACAGCTAACTACTTTGAGAATGTCTCCTGCTGGCCCATCAGTAGGTTGGGAGGGCTGGAAGTTGTTCTTGACTGAATTGTCCATTGAGGTGACTTCATCCACTTTGGTAGTTGTTATGGAGTGCCTGCAAGAACTGTCACACCTCAGGTACAGTGAACAAAACCAAAGGCCATGTGCCCTGACCTGTGGCACTGATGACTTCCTAAAGCCCAAATCCCTGGTGGGCACAACTTTAGAGAGGAGACTTCTCTAAAGCTTCATTGTTTTGCCCTGATGTCCTTTCCTAAGCCCTGTGAAGGAAATTTGCCTCACTTACATATTTCCCCTGTCCCTGCAGGTCACTGAGGATCTCAACTGTTCCAACCTGGACTGGAACATGGTTCACTGAGCAGCAGATGTGCAGTTCTACAACTTGCTATTCTGAACATGATTTGAGAGGTGTCATTCCCAGGCTGAAGGCGAAGGCCAATAGCATCTCTTGGCCTCACTTTCAGACATGGAGGCCAAGTAACTGGGAGTGTGGCCTCCCTTACTCCTTGAACCTGAGGGAGGTCACTTGAACTGGTATCATGGCATGGCAAGCTGAAGCACAGGATCAGTGCCAGGCAGGAGAGAAAAATCCAGACCCCTTTTGTGGCACTATGTGGGAGCTGAGCACTATGAGACGGTGCAGAGAACAAGGAGCAGGTGCAGTGGAACCCCTAGAGTTGGGCAGTCCTTCCCTGATGTGTGGGCCCCAGTGCCTGTGTGGGCATGGTGTTGGCCCCCCTGCATTGAACAACAAAGATCCCTGCCTGGTGTTGCTGGGTCAGGGTGACAATGGACACTGGCTGTGTGTGGAAGCCAAGTGGCCAAAACAGACTATGTCTTACTTGAACCAGCCTGGGACACCCTCCCACACTGTCATTCTTTTGTGGTTCCCTGGCCTAACTTTGTGTAGCCAGGGCCCTCATTGTCCACCCCAATCTTCCCTGGACCTTTGGATGGATTCACAGGAGGAGACACTGCATGAGTAGCTGACCAAAGTCCAGGTGTCACTGCTCTCTGCTGTCACCCAAAAGTACTGTTGGTGACACAATCAGGTGCAGACATTGGGTGACTCAGGGCCTTTTTCTACTCATCTTCTTCCATCTTCCATTCCCTTTTTCCCCAGGCATCCCTCCCTCCTCCTATGCTCTAATCTCCTCGCAAAAGTACACAGCTTGGCTTCTGATAGCCCTGGCTGGAGTAGAGAGTGCTCTGTGACACTCTCATTTCTTTTTGGGCCAGAGAAATTCCAGTACCCACAGTTACAGCTGCTTAGTTATCAAGTAGAACAAACTAAACTCAACATGTGTTGCCCATGCTCCCGGGCCTAGGATTGACGTTATCAGAAACCCCAAATCTTTGCTCCCAGCACTAGCTGTCCTCCTAAGCACATGATGGTCACAATTGTGGGCTCCAGGTCAGTCTGGGGATTCCTGACTGTGGAGAACGCAGGAGCTGACCTAAGGTGTGGGTCCGTGTGTGACGCATGCATACCTGGATAAGTGGGAAGACAAATACTTTTGCTCCTGTCTGGCAGGTTCTAGGTAGACACAGAAACTTTGAAGTGGCTCATGTGGGATGCACAGAATGGAATCAGGCTAGGGAACATAGGCTGGTGTATCAAAGTGGGAAGTGGGAAGCATTGTGCTCAGATCTGGACCACACATTGAAAGGAAGGCCAAGTAAGAGTCCCACAGGGCAACTGCATCTGGGCACAAATTCCTTCCCACTGGGACCATGTGTCTCTATCCTTTGACAAGACCAGCTGACTGTGTTACAAGGCCTGACAGTGCTCTCAGCTGGAGAGAACTATCACAGCCATATTGGGAGGACTGGTCCTCACCTGTAGAGGGAGACACTTTCCTGCTCTCCTGGAATCACACTGGGGATCAGGCTGCATTGTGCACTGTGTGGTCAGACCTGGTGGGTAAGGTGACTCATCTCTTTTAGCATATTTGTGCATTCTGTGTCTCCTTCTAATAAATCTTTCTGATGCTTGACTTTTAAAAAAATCTTGGAAGCCAGGCCTCCTGGCACACACCTGTAATCCCAGCTCTTAGGAGGCTGAGGCAGGATCCTTGAAAGTTTGAGAACAACCTAGTCTACAAAGTGAGCTAAAGTATAGCGTGAACTGCATAGTGAGGCCTTGTTTGAAAAAGACAAAACTAAACTGAATGAATAAAAATGGTGGATGAGAACACTTCCCAGTAGAGTGTAGAATTTGGCATTATAATGTGTGCATAGCTTATTTTTGTTTCCTTTCTTTATCCCCCCTTGCTTCTCTCTCTCTCTCTCTCTCTCTCTGTCTCTCTCTCTCTGTCTCTCCATCTCTCTCTCTCTCTCTCTCTCTCTCTCTCTCTCTCTGTCTCTCTGTCTCTCTGTCTCTCTGTTTCTCTGAGTCTCTGTATTCTGCATCCCAGGCTTGAACTTCTGGTATTTCTGTCTCAGATTCCCACAGTATGAGAATTGCTGTTGTGCAAAACTCTGCCAGTTTTACAAGGTGATTTCAACAAGCACTGTTTGTTATGGAAGACTTACAAGCTGTGTGTGTGTGTGTTTGTGTGTGTGTGTGTGTGTTTGTGTGTGTGTGTGTGTGTGTGTGTGTGTGTGTGTGTGTGTGTGCTCTTTTGACTGGTTTAAAGTAATTCCTCATTTTTTTTTTTTGTTTTTTTGGTATCATGGATTGAAGTCACAACCTTGCATTTGCTAGGCAGGTGTTTATGCTGCTGAGCTAAGTGGCAGCCTAATGCAATTTCTTGTGGTTCTCATTACCTTGAGGATGTCATCTGAAATAAATAATTTGAAGGTGTGTTCGCAATTACTAGTGGTATTTTTCTTAACCAACCCCTTCCTAAAAAACAAATGCTTAACCCTATCACCTCCTGCTTGGCAGGTAACTACTTTTGGGAAAGTCTCCTGCTGGGCCAACAGTAAGCTGGGAGGGCTGGAAAGTTGTTCTTGACTGAATTATCCACTGAGGCAACTTCATCCACTTTGGCTGTTGTTACCAATTGCATGCAACAACTATCATACCTCAGAAACAGTAAACAAGCCCGAAGGCCCTGTGCCCTGACCCATGGCACTGATGACTTCTTAAGAACAAACCCCTGGTGGACACAGGTTTAGAGAGGAGGATGAGTTTCGTTCTACTGCCCTGGTGTCATTTCCTAAGTTCTGTGGACATTTGCCACATATCTATCCTGCTCCTGTGCCCTGCAGGTCACTGAGGTTCTCAGCTGTTCTGACCTGTACTGGAACATGGTTCTCCAAGCAGCCAATGTGTGGTTCCCCAGCTTGCTGCTCTGACCATGGATTGAGGGGAGTCATTCTGGGCTTAAGGCCCTAACATCTCTTGGACCCACTTGCACGAAGAAGCCAAGTAACTGTGAATGTGGGTTCGCTTACTCCCTGAACCTGAGGGAGGCCACTTGAACTGGTACCGTGGCACAGCAAGCTGAAGCACAGGATCAGTGCCAGGCAGCATGGAAAAAACCAGGCCCCTGAGTGTGGCACCATGTGGGAGCTGAGCACCATGAGGGAGAGTGCAGAACAAGGGCTGGAGCAGGTGCTGTGGAACCCCCAAAGGTGGGTAGCCCTTCTCTGATGTGTGGGCCCCAGTACCTGTGATGGCATCACGATGTCTCTCTTGAGCGAGGGAGGTTCCTGCCTGGTGTTGCTGGGTCAGGGTGGCAGTGGGCACTGACTCTGTCTGGCCGTGAATTTGCACAACACAGACTGTGTGACTGCCTAAATTCATCTATCCAGGCTCTTCCTTGTCCAACCCAATCTTCCCTTGACCTTTGAGTGGAACCACAAAATTATAGCTACCCACAATCCAACGAGAGCTGTTTTGTGCTATTACCCAAATGGTATGGTATATGACAAAATCAGGTCCCAGTCATTGTGTAACTCAGGGTGTTATCCTACTCCTCTTCTTCCATCCATTTTCTCTTTCCCTGGCATCCCTCCCTCTTCCTCTTATACTTCCTTCTCCTCCAAAGAGAACTCACCTGGCCTTGTTGTAGCCCTGGCAGGCCTTTGAGCTGCTCTGCACTCCCCTGGACTCTTTTGACAAGCAGAGAACCCCATGCTCACAGGTATGACTGATTTGTTGTTACCCAGAATAAGCTACATCCAAAATGTGTTGCCCTTGATCCATGGTTCCAAGGTCTAGAAGATCTCAGGACATGGTGGTAAGAACTGGGGTTCAAGGTCAATCTGGAAACCCCTGACTGTGGAGCATCCCAGTACATGACCTAAGCTGTGGGTCCCTGTACCTGGATACATGGGGAGACAAATGCAGGTGCTGCTGTCTGCCAGAATACAGGAAGACACAGTAACTTTGAAATGGCTCATGTGGGATGGGCAGAATTGAATCAGGCCAAAGAACAAAGGCTGGGTGCACCAGATCATGAAGCGGGGCCCTCAGATCTGAAGCACACTTAGTAATAAAGGCAAATAAGTGTGCCCCAGGCCAACTGGCTCTGGGTTCCAATTCCTGCCTCCTGGAGTCATGCATTTCGGTCCTGTCCTAAGAAAAATGGAAGGTATTATAAGGTGTGGCAGTGTAGTCAGCCTTCTAATGGCATGACTCTGGGCCCCTCAGGAGCTGGACAGCACCTTTAAAGGAGACAGGCCCGAGGCTCACTTGTGTACAATGTGGCACTATCCCATTGAACAGCCTCAGGTTATGGTCACTGTCAACTCTTCTTTCATTTTGGCCACCTGGTTGGCAGGCTGCCACTGTGTTCTCACTGTTCCTGCCTACTGTCTCCAGAATCATAGCAGAAACAATTTCACAAATCCAGCTGCTCAGTGAGGTTGTAGGCCAGTGTGCTGGGGTGAGCCAAGCACCTGTGCCATCAGCAATGGGACTGCTGTTTTGTGAAAGACTGTAGAGTGTGGTGAGAACCCAGTGTGTTTTTATCCCCGCCACACCGATGCTGGCGTCATGATGTACAGAGCAGGATTCCTGCCACTCAGGTGTCACTTTTTACTGCATCTTTCCTTCCCATGATCAGTTACTGGGAAGCTGTGTAGATGTGACTGTGCCAGATAAATGTATGTTGCAGGCCCTGCTAAGCATCACAACCCAGAGTGTCTGGCAGCAGATCAGCCTTCAAAGCTGGGTCGGAGTGGGGGGGACGGAGGTAAAGGAAGACAAGTAATTTTTTTTCCTCAAACACAGCAGCAACAGAGGGGGGGGGAGACAACTTCAGCTGTCACTGTTACACCCCCTTCTGAACCTGTATCCAGAGGCCAGAGATGAGACAGCAGTTTTGACACTTTGCTAGAAATCAGGGATCTGAGCAGAACTACAAAGGCTGGGCTTGAGAGCCAGACTTCGGGCTCCTCCAGATGATCTGCCTGTGTTTGGTTTTCACTTTCTGTCCCATGACTCAATCATAACCAGTGAGAGTGAACTGATTCTGGTGATCTCAGACAGTCAGAAAACAGTGAGATCTCTCCATGTCTCTGTTAGATTGTGTATAGAGCAAAGTATAAAGTACACTTTCCTATGATAGGAAGATTGGCCCCAGAAACTCCATTAGGAGATCTTAGCTTTAGGACAGTTGATGCTTTGGTCTTGATCCTGCATCTCCCTGAAAGACCCCTTGACTGATGCCTGGAAGGTGTCCTTCCTGTTGAGATTTATCATTAGTTGCTCTATTTTTTTCTCCAAAAGTAAGAAGTGGATTTTCTATCTGTTTATTTTGTTTGTAATTTATGATATATTTTTAGAACTTATATGCAGTGTATATAGATTACATTGATGATAACACATTGTTTATTTAATATGCAGAATATAAATTAGACCCTATGTGGTGCATTATAGTTCACCCATCAGCCCGAGAATGTTTTCAAAATTGTTTGCATTCATTACCCAGTTCCTGTCCCCAGCAGTTCCCAGCACAAGCCCCTGCTCCATCTGGTTTGTCCTTTCTTTATGGCCAGTGCAGTATGTAGTGATGCACAGTTAGAGTACTTGGCAGCATTTTTGCAAGAGGAGAGTGTTTTTGTGTGGTCATGGAGGGAGCCCAGAATAGCCTGGAGCAGGTCATGAGCTCAGGCTGTGCATGGAGAGTGATCTGATGGTTCCCTGCAGTGTTGATGGGCACAGACTCAGCACTGGGAGCAGTCTGCAGACCCTAACCCTGGGGCATGCTATTTGGGAATGGAAGGGGGCAGGGCTCACTGTGCCTCCCCTTCCCAGCTTAAATTTGGTGAAAGGTGGCAAAGCATGTGGAGTGTATGATTGTCAGGGTCCAATGAGGTCCAAAGCTCAATGCAGAGCCTGTGTCATACAGGCAGGCTAGATGGCATTGAAAGAGCTTTCTCTCAATAGACACAAGTACACAAAGTTATTGACCTCTCATAGCATGACTTGCCAGGTACAGCTGGAGAGAGAGATCAATCAAATATGTTCTAAAGCTGCTCACCCAGCTCATAGTAGATTTGGAGTTGGTGTTTAAAAAATTTCCTAGTGAAACCAGTTGAGGTTTGGAGTCTCTGTAATCCACGTACTCTACCAGAAGAGGGCAAGAGGATCTCACATTTGAGCCCAGTCTGAGCAGTTTAGCTGCACAATAAGACCCAGTTCAAATTTAAAAATCAAAAGGTAAAGAGGCTGGTGATGTAGCCCTGTGAGAAGGCCCTGAGTGCACCCTCCTATTATAATATGATATTAGCACATTTGTAAAGAAACTGAATTGAAAGGATTCTACAACTTCCATGAGCACATATTGAACCAAATGTGCCCAGCTGTCCAGAATGTTCTGAAACTTTGCATTTGTAATAGAAGCTCAATCAAAATATATAGAATGTTCATCCATCTTCAAGAAGCAGAGATGAGGTAGTGCCATGCAGTTGCGCTATTTGCTGAGATGTCATGGGCATGAACTGTCCCCAGGGGAACACCAGAGCTTGATGGGTGCATTTCTCAGAGGTCACCATGGAGCTCTGTGCCCAGATTCAGATCCCGTGGACAGAAACATGTCCCACCCAGCTCCTAGAATTGTGACCTAGAAACTCCACTGCTAAGATTCTACCCAAAAAATGACATTTACTTAGGTGGCTGTTTCTTATGGGATAGAGGATGACATGACTGTGTTGCCGGGTCCTACATGCAATCCCTGAAAACCTCTTCCATAATACACACTCCTCACTTCCTGGCTTAAACCCCCAGCTTGACCCTGAGATGAGACAGGAGGAAGAGCACCTGGGAGGGAGACCACAGTTCCTGGATGGAACAACAGTCACTATGTGGTTTCTTTCATTATTCACTCATATTGTATTGCAAATGTAAGTGTACAATGTAATTCTGGTCAAAAATAAAAACTGATTAATGAATTGCATATTTAAAAGAATAATCAAGCACAATATCTAACGTTATGTGTTTCAAGAATTAAAAAAATTAAACAGCCACTTCCAGCATCCTCTGGTAAAGGCAAAACTTGACTGCACTGATGCAGAAAACATAGCAGAGGTAAATTATGAGGCCATAAGATGAGTGCTGTCTGGGGTGGGGAAAGATGAGAAAGAAGCAAAGCTGCTTTTTGCAGAAAATTGAGGAAAATGCGGTGAAATTGGACAGTGGTGAAATTTTCATAACACTGAGAATGCACTGAATGACACCAAGCTGATTATTTTAAACAATACTAAAATCTTAAACTTTATTTATATCGGTTCCATCACTGGCGTAACTCTGGGAAGTAAGGGTAGCAGTGAACACAATAATTGGTAAATCTGGAAGAGGGGGGAAAGGCAGGTGTGGGTCAAGAGCTGCCCGCAGGTAGAGCT